ACAAAAACAAAAAAAAAAACCAATAAACATATTTTTTTAATTTGTCAATTTAGAATCCTACCTGAGATGAGCATGTCTTTCAGTTCTGATTTTAGATAGGTTAACACTAGGCAAACCACATTTTATTTTTCTTTAGTGACATTTGGGATTAAATCTCCAAAGCCTCTGCTCTCACTTTCCTGTGTTATGCAAATACACGATTAATTAGATTTCTGTTTCTCAGTTTTCCCTCTGTGAATACAGCAAGAACTTGATCAAAGCTTAACATTGTCATTCAAAGTGATTAATGTCCAGGAAGTAACAGAATTGAGATTATTGCTGTATCTTATGGTTACCTTGAATCTACATACTCCTCCAAGCAAACAACACATATAATATAGATTTTTAATAATTCATTCAATGATTCTGTCTTAAACTATATTTTTCCTGTTAATATATGTGTCTGTCAATTATCTCACACATTTCTAGAGCAATCATTGCAAAAATTAATAGATAATTAAATGTTTGTTCTTAAATATTTTCTGGCTGTTTAATGGATAATGACAAGGAATAGAAATAAACAGCCTTTAAATGACAGGTTGTACTAATATTGCTGATAGGTGAAAGGATGGCTGTAATATCATATATTCATTAGGATGATGCTTTCAAGAAGAAAAAAATCCTGTCTTATGTTTTCTCTATGTCTATTCATTTAAATGTATATGAGTCTAGTAATGAAATTATATGTAAAAACCTACACCAAGCCATCAATTTATCTATGTACAATGCCGTGAAATTAATTACATTCTTTAAATTGTGTAAATATTTGAACTAAGCTTTTTCAATTAGTTTCACCACCATTAAAATAAACTCAAAATTCCTAGGTAAAAATTATTTCTTTCCCTTTCCTTCGCACCCCTGATAACTACCAATAATTTTTGGTTGTTTGACTTTTTTTGTTTGCTTGCTTATTGAATATAGTTGAAATCATACCACATTTATTCTTTGAAGACCAATTTATTATACGATGTAGTCAAAGTTTACCCATGTTCTGACTTGTATCAGAACTTCATTTCTGTTTCTGGATTAGTAGCATTCCATTAGGTGTATAAACCACATTTTATTTTTTTATCTGTTGATGAATATTTCAGTTGTTTCCTCCTTTTGACAATTGCAAAAACTGTTACAAAGAGTTCTGCATAGTTGAGTACTTTTTATGTTTTAAAATAAACTTTTAAAAACAGGTAGTGGCAATGGTTGCCCAATGTAATTAATGCAATTGGCATCATTAATTTATACATGAAACATATCTTATTGCTATATTTATTTTCAAAAAAAATTTTTGAATAACCCATAAAAATGGTTTTTGTGTGCTCTAATTCATGGCATTACAATGAACATTAGAAGGTGTTAGGAAAATGAGTAGGTATCCTGTGTACTCATACCCCAATGCTGCCAATGATCTAAGTTTTACCCTCCGTAAACTTTAGTCCACCATCTTGGCAGGTTTGATAGGACTTCTTCATCAGGGCCAAGAGCAAAATTATGTCTTCATGTTGTTCTGAATTATAAAAAAACCTCTCTCTTTCTTGTTCTATAAATGTGTGTTTAACTATCTTTTCCTTCACAATGGACTTTCAGAGACAGAAGTATATACCAAAGAATAGAACATTAGAGTTCTCTTACAAAATTACAGGTGGTTTTTGTATATATCACTTATTGCTATATAATATGTATTATATTGTGTACTATGAGTTGTCTTTAACAATCTTATTCTATAAATATGGGAAGTGAGCTCCAGAGGTGATAAATAAACATCTGGAATCTCATAGAAATTAAGTTTATCAGATTCCAGAGCAATTGCTCTTACCTTATCCCTGACTACACTGTAAAAAAAAACAAAAACAAAAACAAAAACCTCCGTCAAAATACTTTTCTTTGACAACCACTTGAAATGTTATAATATTAATATTTTAAAACTAAGGTTGAAAATAGATTTAAAAATATAGGATCAGTACTGGACTGCAAACTACAGGGTCGGCTGTTCAAGCCCACTTGCTGCTCCTCAGAAATCATGACACTAACAACAACAACAACACAAATACACTCATTAATAAAAAGAATTCCTCTTTTTTTTTTTACTTTGTAATGGTTGATTGGATGAAACTTCACAGAACTAATTATTTTTCTGTCCAAATATTTGTACCCAGTTTGTTTCATAGTTTGGGTTGCAATCTTGTCAACATAGAAACCCTTCCCACTTATTCTCTATTTCCATTCTTCCTTCTTTCCTGCCCCTTCCTTGTCTTCTGAGATTTCCTTTTGTGCAAAAGCTGCTGCTTTGGTCTCATATGAATAGAATGTACAGAGGAGTACATTCATCCCTGCTGTTTTTCCACACAAATTATCCTTGATGTTGTATGAAGTGCTGGCTAGTTGATATATATTCAATGATTTTTCATATTTGATTATTTTACCAGATAATTCCAATGATAAAATACATATGTATGATTAGGAATAATATTGTGTAGACAAAAATCTAACACCCTATTAATATCTGTCTACTAGAGAATTTCACGAAGCTGTTGCCATTGTGTTGCAAAAAAGCTCCACTACCATCCTCTACTTCTCTGGTACACATCAGAGAGGTCAAGCCATTCTTTGTTACCTTCTTCTGATTTCTTTCCCACAAATCTTATCCTCAAGGAGCTCTGGTAGCATAGTGGTTATGAATCGGGCTGCAAATCACAAGGTCAGCAGTAGGAAACTACCAGCTGTTCCGCGGTAGAAAGATGAGGCTTTCTGCTCCCGTAAAGATTTACAGCCTCGGAAACCCTGTACAGGGTCGCTATGAGTCGGAACCGACTCCACGGCACATAACAACAACAGCAACAGTATTATCCTCAAGTGCTTCCCTGTGGCCTGGGACGTCAATTTCTGTCTGGTTAAATTCTAATAAAGCAAAACCAGACATTTCCTACCAAAACAGAATTTTCGCTCCAGACCATGTAGTCTAACATCCTTTCTATTATCCCTATTAATATTAGGATCTTGGTTGCAAGATTTTTATTTTTAAAATTTGATAAACTGAATAACTTCCCAAAGAACAAAAATATACCTACACTAAACTTTGATGCTGTCCTGGTGCTCATTAAGTATCATTTCCAAAAGTGTGATTTAATTAAGAAAATACGGTGGAAGAGTAAACCTCAAAACCTTTTTCAAAGCAATCTTTCCCTATATACTTTGTCCCATAATCTTTGCTGTTGATTTTTGCTAAGTGATGTCGAGTCGGGATCCGACTCATAGAGACCCTGTACAGGGTTTCCAAGGAGAAGCTAATGAGTTGGAACTGCCAGCCTTAATAGCCCAAACCGACATTGCAGTTTACCGCATTAACCGGCAGCACCACACCAGAAGTTTTACCTTCCACAAATATGTCAAGGTGTCCCCTAAAGAAATACCACTTGGAAAGCTACAAGTGTATGGGACATTTACTAGAATTATGAAATGTTTACATTAAATGACATTTTACAATGATAGTTATATTGCCTATGACATTCACTTGCTTTTAGCTTCTAACATTTTTTTAAATGGGTAATTAAAGAGTGTTCTTGAGTTTCTTATAACTCTTCAAATATAGGACTACATACATGTTATCAGGACAAGCTGAAAAAACTGGTTTTGGTCTTGTTTTGTTTTTTTATATCAAAAACTTGTAACTAAGTCAGAGGAAGTAGGTAAATTCCTAAATGACCTAAATGGAAACTCTTTAACTTCTAAGTAATTAATAGGCAAATCTTTATAGATCCATTCCTCTGTGTTGTTGTTGTGGTTAAATGTAATTGACAAGGTTTTAACTCATATTGACCTGGTGTTGGTTTTCCAAGAAGTGACTGGTGGATTTGCTGACATTGCACTTAGTAGTAAAGTGCCACCGAGTACTCATTACATCTTATAGCAACAACTGGATGAATATTATGAACTTTCTAAAGAGAAGTTAAAAAATATATTCAAAGCATATAGTATACCATCAGTTAACTATGTTTTGACCAATTTGTAAACATCACCCCAAAAATGCTGACAAGTGTGTGATTTTTATATATTTATTTTTCTATCCTGTATCATGGACACATTGAAGTTACTTGTTATAAAAGGGTCGAAACACTCATATTTATCACAGAATACTCATCATCTTAGGGACTAGTCATGGTTTATGAATAGAGAGCTAGTTTAACGATGCCTTGAAGAGAATGTGGCTGGAGAATCAGAACGAGGGGAATTTGTCCAGGCTTGATTGGGGCTGAGGAAGGAAATTTTTCCAGAGAGAAGGAGGGAAGAGTTAAGAATTACAACACAAATTCATTCTTTTTGTTTTTAAGTGTCTAGTAGTTTGGGTCTCCATGACTTTTAAAAAGGCATAGTCATAACCATCTCATGATCACTAACTGCCAATCCCTCAAATTTCCTCTCTCCCACTTGGAATCTGTGTTCATCATTCAAATCAGAAAATACATGTCCTCATTACAAAGCAGTGTTTCTTCTTTGTACAGTAGATTTAGTCATTTTGTACTAAATGAAATCACCTTATTTTTTCACCTCATGATGTTTATAGTTTTTCCTGAATTGTTTGAATGATTACATAATTTAAGTTTGATATTTACACTAGATAACAGAATTCATTATTATGGCGATTGACAGGTTGATCACAAAGTAGGAAGCATTGAGATGCACAACTGACACTGCATAAACTCAACAATTATAGGGAGTAATTGTTAGTGCGTGAAAGAAACATCGAATTAACAAAATTACGGCACATTAAGAAGGAGACCAGAAGGATTTCCAACATTAAAGAGTACTGTGTTTATATTAAAGACACATAAAAAGTATAGCAAAATTAGGAAATTACTACTTACTAATGTCGTAGTCCATAAATACACATTGTAATAAAATATTTGGGATCACACTGTATTGTACTATATATTTGAATAAAACAGCTGTTTATGGGTGTGTATAAGTATTTAAAATAGAATTTTATGTTTTAGTTTTTTTAAAGCCTCTTTCACATCCTTATTTCGCAAACTATAAATCAGAGGGTTTAACATGGGAATGACAAGAGTATAAAACAATGATTTTATTTTGTCCTGGTCAAGAGAATAGGAAGAACTTGGGCGGAAATACATAAAGAGCATAGACCCCTGGAAAATTGCAACAACAGTTAAGTGGGAGGTGCAGGTAGAGAAAGCTTTGAACCTTCCTTTAGTAGAGTTGATCTTTAAGACTGAGAAGATGATGTAACAGTAAGACACAAGAACTCCAGAAATGGTACTTAGTTCAATGAAGCCAAAAACAGTGAATAATGCCAGCTCATTGACTTGAATATCAGAGCAGGAAAGAAGGTAAAGTGGAGGTAAATCACAGAAGAAGTGATTGATTTCATTTGAACCACAAAAACACAAACGGAAAGTTAATGTTGTATGTACCAAAGCATCAACCAGGCCTACAAAGTAAACCCCTGCCATAAGCCTGGAGCACACTTCATTGGACATGTTGGCTGCATAGAGGAGGGGGTTGCTAATGGCATTATATCGGTCAAACGCCATCACTGCCAGGAGTAGACACTCAGAGTCTGTAAAGATGCAGAAGATGAAGAATTGCAGAGCACAACCAATGAAGGAAATTGATTTATTCCTGGCAAAGAAGTCCACCAGCATCTTGGGTCCAACCGCTGTGGAATAGCAGAGGTCAGAGAAAGCCAGATGGCTGAGGAAAAAGTACATGGGTGTTTGAAGCTGGGAATCAATTCTAATTAAAATGATCATTCCAAAATTTGCTACAAAACTAATGAGGTACACAATCAGCAGTGTAGTAAATATGGTTGCCTTGATCTCAGGGTTATTAGTAATTCCCAAGAGGTGGAAATCTGTCAAGGAGGAACAATTTTCTTCATCCATTCTTTGTTGGTGTTCTAAACTGTTAAAATAAATTATCAAGAAAATCAGTTTTAACTCTGTTGGACATCCACAAAATTTTATGTATAAGACAGAACACTTTCAATCTTAGATTATCTTTATTCTCAGTCATTATGACAGATAAATGTCACTGTTAAAGAAACATGTTCTGTTATTGAAAACACAAACAAGAAAATATCATACCAGGAACTTTTGACATTTTGATTCTAAATCTTTCATGATATCTGTAATTTTTATTAACTTCTGCTATTTTACCTCAGACAGTAGATATGAATGAACCTAAAGCTCAATCCAGGTTCAAAATAATATTAATACACACAAAAATTAGAGAGACAAAGCCAGAAGACACATGCTTAAACATCTAACATGTGTAAATTAAGTATGCTACAGTACATGAACATACAAACCAAATAAATAAATAAATAAACGATTATATTTATTGTATTCATAAAAAAAACACACACACTGATTTTAAATATTCAATGACAAGGAATGAAATTGAATATAAATTAACAAACTAAAATGATTGTGTTATTGTTAAGGTTTAAGTGAATGCTAAACAGGAATGAAGCATTCTTCATACAACTTTCTATCAGCTCTTCATTGTCAAGCATCCTGTTGTGGCACTTTAGGATAGGTACTAGATTGCTGACTACAAGGATGGGGCTTCAAACCCACCAGGCTCTCTTTGGAAACTCTATGCAGGGTCCCTATGAGTCAGAACGTCCTTGACAGAACTTCATAACAACAATCACAAGTTTATTGAGAATCTAAAGAGAAGTAATACCAGGTGGGAAAAGCAACTTTCATTTCCATCTTTTGAATTTCTAAAATGAATTTTCCATAAAACATGAAAATGACAAGATGTATAATAAATGTTTCAGAATTATAAGTGGTTCATTTCTTGTACAAGTATGTGTATTTCTAGTATAACCAATCTGTGTTGAAAGAAAGTCACCCCAAATGCTCTTTGGAAGCCAGGATGACCAGACTTGGCCTCTCATATTTCTGACATATAATCAGGAGGGACCAGTCCCTGGAGAAGAATATTATGCTTGTTAAACTCGAGAATCAGAGAAAAAGAGGAAGACCCCCAATGAGATGGATTGACGCAGCGGCAGCAGCAATGGGCTCAAACGTAGCAGTGTTTCCTTTTGTAGTTCATAGGGTTACTATGAGTCAGTAGCAACTCAGGGGCACCTAACAACAACAACATCTCTATTATGGTTATCAAAAATTGAATTTCAAATGGTAGTTTTTGTTGTTTTTTTTCTGTACTCAGGTGTTATAGCATGTAGTCCCTATGAACTTGAATTTATTCATATTGGTACTTTTAATGTGATACCTCAGTGGTATTTAAGTAAACTATAGCAAGTATTATTTCACATATACAGTAATGTCACTTGAATAGTAATAAAAAGTAGTGGTTTATTTATTAAGTGAAAATCTGAGTTAATCAAGGATCAACTTTACTTATACAAATGAGGTCAGTCAAATTCATAGTTTCAACCAGAAAATATCATAGCTTGGCTTTTAGAATGAACAATCAATTAAACTGAATTAGTAGATAAAATTATTTATTTACAAATTCTTCAACATTTGGTTTCTCATTTATCTTATATATAGGAAATTATATATATACAGACATCTTATTTGCCAATTTAGAATCCTACCTGAGATGAGCATGTTTGTCTTTCTGTTCTGCTTTGGATAGGTTAACACTAGGACTCCCACATTTTATTTTTCCTTAGTGACATTTGGGATTAAATCTCTAAAGCTTCTATTTTCACTGTTTTTGTTATATAAACATATGGTTAATTAGATTTCTAGTTCTTTGTTTTCCCTCTGTGAATACTGCAACTACTTTAGAAAACCATGACATTTTCATTTAAGGTGATTAATACCCAGGGAGTAATAGAAATGATTCTAATGCTGTTTCTTGAGGCTTTCTGTCAAGATTTACAGTCTTGGAAACTCTATACATGATTACTGATTACATGTCAGGCTGCTAATCTTAACGTCATCAGTCTGAAACTACCAGTTGTTCCATGGGAAAGAAGACTTTCTGCTCCCATAAAAATTTGTAGCTTCAGAAACCCTTTACAAGTTCTGAGTAGGGACTGACTCCAGGGCACATAACCACTAGCACCGAGTCAGAACCCACTGGATAGCACATCACCACCACCAACAACAACAACAACAACAACTTGAATATACACAGTGCTCCATTCAAATCACATGTCTAATGAACCTCAGATAGACTTTCCAGCTAACGATTGCTTTTTAAGTTTGTTTTTTTTTTTTTCCCATTTATATTTGTTCCTCCCAACATTCTCACAGTTTCTAGAATAAGAATTTTCTAGTTTAATGAATTATTCACTGTCAGCTCTTAAATATCTTCTTAAAAATTAGTGGATAATAAACAAGGAATATAAATAAACAGACATTAAGCACTGTTTCTACTAATATTGCTGATAGATGAGAGGTTGACTTTTAGTAATACAACAAATTCTTTAAAAAGAAGCATTCAAGAAAAAAGAATTAAGCCTTACTTCTGTTGTAACTATCTCTCTTCTTCATACATGAGTGTAGTAGTGAAATTCTACATTTAGCTGCTGTTGAGTTGATTCTGACGCATAGCAATCTATGAACAGCAGAACAAAATACTGCCCATTCCTCTACCAACTTCACAATTATTTTTTATGTTGAGTCCATTGCTGCTGCCACTATGTCAATTCATCTCATTGGGAGCTTCCTCTTTTTTGCTGACCCTCCACTTTACCTAGCATGCTGTTCCAGAGACTGGTCCGTCCTGATAACATGTCCAAAGTATGAGAAACAAAATAAGAATTCTAACTCATCTTATTTTCAGCAAGTAAAGTTGTATCATCTGCATATCCCAGGCTGTTACTGAGTCTTCCTCACATCCTGATATCATGATCTATTTCATGTAATCCATTTTCTCAGATTATTTACACAGCATACAGACTCAATAAGTCTGATAAAATAATACACCCCTGGGGCACACCTTTCCTGATTTTAAACCATCCAGTTTCCCCTTATTGATTTTGAATGGCTTTCTCTTAGTCAATGCACAGGTTTCTGATGAGCATAATTAAGAGTTCAAGAATACTCATTCTTGGCAATATGGTCCATAATTTGCCATCATACGTAGTCAAAACCCTTTGCATAGTCAATAAAGCAATTTATTTGTAAACACCTTTCTGGTATTCTCTGCTACCTAAAAATATCCATCTGACATCAGCAATGATATGCCTCAATCCATGTCCTCGTCTGAATTCAGCTTGAACCTCTGGCAGTTTCCTGTCAATACACTGTTACCATTGTTTTTGAATTATCTTTAGCAAAATTTTATTCCATGTGGTATTAATAACATTGTGCCATAATTTCCATATTCTTTTGGGTCATTTCTCTTTGAAATGTGCACACATATGAATCTGTTCCAATCAGTTTGCAAGGTCTTTGAAATATTTTGACATATAAGAGTCAGTGTCTCCAGTGGTACCTTCATTTGTTGAAAGATTGGTAATTTGTATTCCATCAATTCCCAGAAATTTGTTCTTTACAAATACCTTCAGTAAACCTTGAATTTCTTCCTTTAGTTTCACTAGCTTTTGATCATGTACCTCCTAAAATGTTTGCATATTGATTTATTGATACATTGACTTTGTATTCCGTCTATCTACTTTTGAAGCTTTCTGAATAATTCAGTATTTTGTTTAAATATTCCTTAAGTATTTCAATTTGAGACATGAATTTTGTCATCAGTTCTTTCAATATAAAAGATGCTGATTGTGTTATTCCCTTTGGTTTTTCTAACTCCAAATGCTTGTGTGTTTCATTATAATATTTGCTTTCTTGAGCTGCCTTATGAAATTTTTGTTTCAGCTCTTTTACCTCCTCATTTTTTCCTTTTGCTTTTTTTAAAGCCTTTATTGTGAATTGAATGAAGGTCTACATCACAAATTATCATGTTTACATCAGCCAATGTTTACATTGATTGCAATCTCTTCCATGTACCAACAGCAAACAATTTGCCATTTTTTAAAAATATATAAACAAATACCATATTGAAAATGTATATTCATTTAAATGTCCAAAGTGCACGTTTTGCAAATCAGCCTCCTGCCTGCAGGCATGCTGCCTTTCTCAGTTCTTGGGTCTACAGTCTTCTGTTGTTCTATTTCTCTATTCCATAACCTCTGCCACCATCTCTCTTGTCTGGTTAGGATCCCTTGTTACTATCATGCCTTTCCCTCTTCATGATTTTATGGTCCTCTGTTTCTGAAATGGAAGATTAACTGTTCCTCCCTTTTAGCTACACCTCTTCTACATTTACAGTTGTGACAATCTCCATTAGTCTTGATAATAATTGCACACAATTGAATCATAAAAGCCTACCTCCTTCATCACCATACTCATCTGGACAAGAGGAAAACTATTTTGTGGGTACTCTATCTTACCATCCTCATTCTGACCATAACCACCCTCATCAAATCTTGGAAACTAGTTATTTTGTGACTTTATAGCCCCCTGAGTTTAATAGCTGAAGTCTAAGTTGCCCATACCTATCAACCCAGTGTGCTAATGAGGCAAGCTTGATCCTTGATATATAGAAACCTTTCCTTTAATTATGAATTTTGGGAAACTTCATCCAGAAGCAAGTTGTAGCAATTTATATTTGCTCCCTGTATTAAACTTCGTTAACTTCATCCATTTGAGTAATGGTCAGCAAGCCATCCACGCTATGGGATATTAGGGCAAATGTGTACTATCTGCAAGCTTGGGAGTTCTTACTTGCCTCCCTCAACTTCAGACCAATTGGTTACTTCACTCTTAACTCTAGCCCCTTGTAACTAGGTCAGTGTCCTTGGGCTCTGGTGTTCATATGTATCCCTGGACCTCAAACTAACCAGCTCATAGTCTTTCTCATCTCAAGGTCATCGAATGTCCAAACTCAGCCC